AAAAAATGAATTTCAACAACTGTAGAATCAGGCTGTAGCATAACAAAATTGACGGGGATCTGAATACTTTCTGAATGCACTGTAGCTTGGGAGACTGCTGACAAAGTATAACTGCAACTGAAATGCCTAATACTATTATGTATTAATGTAGTACATTTGGCATGTTTATACATTACACATATTTACTGTTATTTTGTAATTTTAATCTATTTTTATAATTGTTCTTATCTGTATGTATTATTACTTAATAAAATATGTGTTATTATTACTCTGCCACTCAGAGTCACTTCAAAGTGTAAGATAAGTGGCATATAATTCTAAAAAATAAATAAATTTGTTACTTTGAATTTGCTGCATTTATAGTTGCCTTCTCAGTCAATTTGGGTTTTTTTTTCCAAACCTGAATATCACAACATAAATACTGGGAAACAATCCATTTGAAACCTCTTTCCAACATGCATTATACCTGTCAGATCTAGATTAATATCTAATCTTCCTTTGCTACTTCTCTTTATCTGGATGTGCATATAATAAGATGATCATATTTACATTTTTGTCACAAATGTTTTATTTATAATTTACATATAAGTATTACTATGCGAAGCATTTGATCAAAATAGTTACCTTTACTGTTCAGTGTAAATCATAATTAAATAACTGCCCAAAAAATGTATTACTACTGAAGATATATTGCCAGATATGCATTTTAAAACTTATACTGTTTTATTAAGATATGGAATATACTTAATATGTTCAAAAGGAAGTTATAATCACATTATTCTTATACATTACATAAACATTTATTAAATTTCACTACCTTCAACTTGTTTTCAGTGAAATGAAACCTTTGCATGCCCATTTTTTAAAATTAAATTGAAACCTTGTGTATTTCTACTATACACTAGTAAGTCAGAGGAAGGAGACAACAACATAACATATAGAATTTAAACTTCCTATAAATATTTTGTATTAAATTAGCCTTTGGGTCATTCCATGTCAAGTAGACAGATGAATAGAATTTCCTGCAGACAAACAAAGCTAATTATTACTCTGTATGCACATTGTTTCTTCAATGATGATGCACAGTGACTTTTCTTGTTTTTTTCTTAAAAGTCTGCAAATCCATGGCTGATAACCTTGCCTCACTATCGGGAATTACCCCCTAGGTCAGGCATGTCAAACTCGTGACGTCGCGTGACGTATCACAACTTTTTCCCCATTGTCGACAATGGGGTAGATGTGGTTTTGGCGTGACACATCCGGCCCATGGGCCGGCAGTTTGACATGCCTAGGTGATAGAGTTGCCAATTTTGCTAAACTGACAGTAGCTTAGTCACCACTAACCAATACAAGGTAATTAATATACCACAGTTTTGCAACACCCTTGATTGATTTATGGATTTGTCTTAATGAAATACTGAAAGCATAGCCAGCACAATAAATTCAGCTGAATTGTGAAATTTTACACCTCTAGCTCATTTACGTCATACAGTCTGGTGGTAAATGTAACTTTTTTTAACACAGAGCATCCATGCATGCAAATTATGCATGCCTTGGGGCCTTAATTCTGACCAAACAAGGCTGGATCCAAAGTAAACCATTGGTTAGTTTTGTAGCAGAAATGACACTCTTTCAAATGACATAAAAACAAATTAAAAACTACAAAATGGAGATACTTGCATCCAAAACAGGGTGAAAATTTGCATAAACCAGTAACATCACGTATTTATGTACGAGTCTTTCCAGTTAGTTGGCTGCAAAGACTTTTACTGCAAATCCTGGACGTATGGTATGGCTGGAACTACTAGTCCAGTTATGTCCTCAATCAAAGCATAAGCACTCAAAACAGGCAATAAATTTCTTTCATGAAATGTTTCATTTACCTTGCTGATCTATAACAAGGGAGGCAAAATTATATTATGCTTCAAACTCTGCATAGGAATTTAGACCAGGATATGTGTTAACTCACAAAGTTTCAGCCCTCTGACGGCTTTCATTGGGCTACAGTACCTGCACAAAGTGGCCACTTTGTGTCACAGAGAGCACGGTATACCTCTAGCTTTGATCCAATAAAGATTCATCTGAAAAAGTTGGCATGGTCTTGTTTCAGATAATAGAAAACAGCTAAAAAATTTTTTGTTCAATTTGGAAGAGGCAGAGTATGGACAATTTTCAAAACTGGTCCACTTGACGTGGAATGGCCTCTTATTTCACTATAAACACTAATTAAAAGTGTTTATTTTAGCAGGATTACACAATAGAAAAGAGAGGGCTGGCTATTTAGATTTCCTTCTACAACAGGAATATTTTATATTTAAAAAACGATTTGTCAAAAGAATTTAAAAGATTCAATATAGTAATGTAAAGATTAACAACATATAGTTTCATTTAAATAGGATACCAAAAAGCAGATATGTGCTTGTTATATCTTGACTTTTCCTTCAAGAGGTTAAGATGTGATGTATAGCAGCACTCCCTTCTATTTTTTTCCCACAATTACCAAAAAGTTAGGTAGGACTATGAGAGGGAGATTGGCTCAATCACCCAATGAACTTTCATGGTTCATGGGTGAAACTCCATCTGGATCTCCCAATGTTAATACAATATATTGGCAACTGTACCACCATGGTTACAGGAAGAACATATTCATAAAAATTAGACCAAGAGGATAAAGTAGATACTTTCAGATATAGTACATTACAATTTCCACAATCTCTTGCCATTGGCTATTCAAATGTAAGGGTACCATGTTGCTAGTTGTGGAATAGTTTGTTTTATCCTACATTTAATCATCATATCTATTGAAATAATGAACAATGCTAATATTTTTAATTTGTATATTCCACATTACTTTCAGAAGCATCAATTAAATGCTCAACTTTTTAATTCAATTATGCATAGTTTTACTTTTTTAACAATGTTATCCCCACTTAGTATAAGTCTAGCTGATACACATATTTGTAAGTCTTGGGGAAAAAAAACATAGTCTTATTCAAATAAATCTATAGAAATAATCATACAGAAACTAACCACATATATACTTGATGCTATTTAAAACTGCATTTTTCCGGTAATCTAGATAGTAAATGCCACTGATCACTAACTTGTAGCAATTCTGTTTCCATTAAGAAACAATTCTGTACAACTATCTTGTTAGAATTTTGAAATTGTGTAAACTATGATAAAGTTGAACTATGATAAATCCTATAATCCCTCCAATGTATTTGTCTGCATGTTATTGCTTTGCCTGTGTATCACTAGGTTCTCAAAACAACCTAACATCTATGGATTGGCTGGGTTTCAACCGGACAGTTGGACACTGGGAGGAGGAGTCCTGAATGGGCATTATAATGTAACCTTTCACGCTTAAATTCTTCAGACCTTGCTTTGCTCTATTGCTATCACTAACTCTCAATAAAAGTTCCTTTTGAGACAATGCCTATTTCAAGATTTCTGCTTTCTTGGGAGATCTAGTTAAGGCAAACCTTTACATAACCACTGGAACAATTTGCCAGGGGCTGTTTACCATATATCGCCTTAAAGAAATAAACCCAGCTTCTTAATTGTGCCACTAATAAATAATGGAACTTTTGAAAATAATTCACTGAAACAATACAACAAAACTATAACTATATGTCAAAACATAAGTCATAGTATATATGAAATATTTAATAATGAGCACATTATGATGTGCAAAAGAATTCAAACAGAATTTTAAACCACTTTTATTTAGTATTTGAAATTGAACTTATTCTGATCAATACTATGAAGAGCAACTGGGGTAGTTGGGTATAATATAGCATAACAAATTCCTATATTCATTACATCCAATTGAGAACTATAAAATGCAAGATTTACAGAGTAAAAGCACATACTTTTGAGTGGGTCTATAATATAATTTATGGGCTTGGGGGGGAAAACCTACTGCATCTTTAATTACAGTTAATCATGGGTTTTGTTTTGTTGAAAACAAAAGTCAGGGTAGTTCTTTACTCTTTTAGTTTTCAATTAAAAATTGCTTTTAGATACTGAACTTTTAAAATATTTAGAGACCGAGTGCCCAAAAACTGCCCCACCTACAATTTTTCATCTTGCTAAAGAAGAAAAAGAATTTTTAAAAATCTGATTGTTTTCATAATCTGCTAAAAAAAGTTATTCTGCTCTCTTACCCACCTAGACACAGCTTACCTCACCTAGGCCACTTTTTACACTTAACTGCACAGATAGAAGGGGGAAAAATACTTTTTTAAACTCAATTTAATCAAAACAAAAACAGGCAGAACAGCAAACTAAGTAGTTTGATTATCTCTTTGGGGAGGGCAGGATTTTTCCACGTGAAAAATGCAACAAAGAGGACATACATAAGTTGTTGAACCGTTCTTTGACAGTCCAGTGATTTTAATCAGTTTGGCTTATTTGCCCCAGGGATAACTTGGTCATGCACCAACTGAGAAGTACAGAAGGGAAGCGATTTCCCAACATAACCGCCGTCTCCTTCTGATCACGGGACTTTTAATCACACCACTGAAAAGAACAGAGGGGCATCTTAGGATAACTTTCTCACTGTAGGTAAAAAAAAAAAAACCCAAAGTGGCCCTACTTGTGTGGGATAAGGCATTTACTACCTGCCCCACGAAGGCTTCATTTCCTCAGGTTTCACGCTAGGAAGCGCTACAGCCAAGACCATTTGCAAGAGACTCTGCAGCCCACAATTGTCGAGGCGGGCCTTTTTCGAGTGTCCCTACAAGCAACGTTGTCTTTAGGATCTCCCTCTTGCATCAAGGAGCGATCTAGAGCCACCCTCGACCGGACTCCAGAAAACCTTCCCAAAAGACCCGATGGGAGGTGAGGCATCGCTAATGCCTCCTCCCCATCTACTGTAAGCCATGAAAAGCGCAAGCCGACGCCCTGAGTCCTCAGCGCCAGGAACCGCACCCGAGAAGAACTGGGTTCTTTCCTGAGGCCATCCATGGTAAAGGCCAGAGATGGGACGCGCTCACCTGTCAAGAAAGCGGAGAGCCGATAACTGGCCCCGAGCCACTTGCGGCCACCGTAACAGAGGAAGGAAGGGAGCGAGAGGGAAATAACATGGCCGGGATTGCGCTATGAGGGCGGAATCTGTCCTTCACGTGACATCAGACGAGGACAGCCTCGCCTCCCCGATTCTCAGCCCAACAGAGCGGAAGGAAGGTTGTTGCTAGGCTACGGAGCCTCGTCTCCCCTAGACTCGCTCTTCTAATTGGAGACTATCTGCCCCGTCCCGCTTCTTTACGTATGTCCGCTCGGCTTGCTGGGCCCCTGGAAAACAGCGAAGTTAATACTGTTCCTGCTTGAAAATGTTCGCGGAAAAACAAGAGTTAGTTGATCTTCCTGCAACTCTTCTATTCGCTGCAGGTTTAATTATAAAATGTTTATTTTCTTGGATTCTGACATTTCATGCCTTTGAATTATGCTGCTTGGACAAGATTGTTAAGAACCAGCCCATCAATATACTTGATGAAATACACCCATAGTAATCACTGGAAGCCCTAATTATGCAACTGAAGTTTAAAAAATGTTGAACTCATAATTGTTTTTCCGAGGAGATACTAATGCTTAATAAATAAATTCATTGAAATGCAATTTTAAAAAGGCCTGCAGGAGGTAAGGTATATAGTTGCTATCACTGCTAATACAAATATCAATGTGTGGGAAGTCAAAGCCCCAGAGAAGGAAATATTAAAAAGGAAAAAATATTTTTCACCAAAAGGATTTTTAAAAGCATTTTTTGAAAAGCAGAAACCAAACCTTGCCTCATCTCTTTGCCCAAACCAGTAGCTAGGCCTATACAAATGCAGATGTGGAACCATCAGGAAGTTTGGAGCCAGGGATCTCAAGACAAAGGAAGCTCTTAAGAGTCATTAGCCCCATCACCAGGGA